CCCTGTCCCAAGGCTTAGCCCATCCCCCATCCCAAGGCTTAGCCCATCCCCCATCCCCCATCCCAAGGCTTACCCCATTCCCCATCCCAAGGCTTACACCATCCCCCAACCAAAGGCTTACGCCATTCTCTATCCCAAGGCTTACCCCATTCCCCATCCCAGTTCTTCAACCAATAACCCCCCCCCAAAAAAAACCACTGCTGGTTACTGAGAGGAGATACTGGGAAACTTCTGTGTGCCTGGCTGCCCTGCACCCAATAGGGAACAGAACCTGGGACAAACAGTGGGACCAGCTGGGGGTCTTCACTGCATTTGTAATATTCAGCAACACACTATGATGCATTGTTGTTCAATGTGGTGCACTGCGACATATGTGCATTGCTTTAAATAGAAAATGAATGGTTCCTCAAAGTGTGCAACAAAAGGATATAAATGTGCCATCAATAAAAAACTGCACGTCATAATTAGAGATGAGCGAATTTTTCAAAAATTCGATTCGGCTGATTCAGCGAATTCCAGGAAGAAATTCGATTCGATGCGAATTAATTCGCTACGAAGTTAACTTATAAAAAGGGTTTCTAGGCTTCAGAGAGCCTTTAAATTAGTGCAGAACACTGTACCTTTAATTTAAATGCCCTTGGAGATGAGGAAGGAGAAGGAGAAGGAGAAGGATGAGAAGAAGGAGAAGGAGAAGGATGAGAAGAAGTAGAAGGAGAAGGAGAAGGAGGAGAAGGAGAAGGATGAGAAGAAGGAGAAGGAGAAGGATGAGAAGGAGAAGGATGAGAAGAAGGAGAAGGAGAAGGATGAGAAGAAGGAGAAGGAGAAGGATGAGAAGAAGGAGAAGGATGAGAAGAAGGAGAAGGATGAGAAGAAGGATGAGAAGAAGGAGAAGGATGAGAAGAAGGAGAAGGATGAGAAGAAGGATGAGAAGAAGGATGAGAAGAAGGAGAAGGATGAGAAGGACAGTTCTGTGACAGTTTCTGTCTATTTCTGACAGTTCTGTGACATTCACTCCATACAGCGGTTTTCAAACCGCTGTATGGAGGGAATGTCCCAGAACTGTCAGAAATAGTCTATTTCTGACAGTTCTGGGACATGTATGGAGTGAATGTCCCAGAACTGTCAGAAATAGTCTATTTCTGACAGTTGTGGGACATTCCCTCTATACAGCGGTTTCAACCGCTGTATGGAGGGAATGTCCCCAGAACTGTATAAATAGTCTATTTCTGACAGTTCTGGGACATTCACTCCATACAGCGGTTGAAACATTGTATCTATTTGTTTCCATAAATGACATTCTGCAGATACACTTAGAGGAGCGCTGCAGATACACTTTTTGCCGGCTTGGAATTATTCTTTTTTTCATCCTACTTCTTCTTTCTTCTTCTTCATCCTCATCCTCTTCTTTCTTCTTCTGAGGATGAAGAAGAAGAAGTAGAATGAAAATAAGATTAATTCCAAGCCGGCAAAAAGTGTATCTGCAGAGCTCCTCTAAGTGTATCTGCAGAATAGAGGAGCTCTGCACATACACTTTTTGCCGGCTTGGAATTATTCTTATTTTCATCCTACTTCTTCCTCATCCTCATCCTCTCTTCTTCTTCTGAGGATGAGGATGAAGAAGAAGAAGTAGGATGAAAATAAGAATTCCAAACCGGCAAAAAGTGTATGTGCAGAGTTCCTCTATTTCTGACAGTTCTCTGACAGCTTCTTCACATGTACAGCGGTTGAAACATCTGTATCCTAAATGGAAACTAATAGATACAATGTTTCAACCGCTAAACATGTGTTCCTTCTGTCAGAGAACTGTCAGAAATAGCGGAGCTCTCTGCAGGGACACTTTTGCCGGCTGATCGGAAAAATCCGACGCAAATCGAATTTTTCCTGAAATTCGTATCGAATTCCGGTTCGCCTGGTTCGATTCGCTCATCTCTAGTCATAATGATCGGTAGATCCAGAGGTATACGGTAGGTGTCCATTTAGTGCCAAAATTGACTTTTCAGTACCACCTAGTCCTATCTATGGAACAAACTGGGGATTTTTAGCTGAAATTTTTCAAGAAATGGAGAAATGGAAATCACAATTTTGCTAATTTCTGGTCCTATGTATGCAGCAGCAGTTGGTTGTTTTTGAAACTGCCATTCAGATAACAGAGCAGCACAAAAACACTCCAGGGATTAAAAATAAGATGCAATTTATTTATATACAGATTGTGATTGTAAATGGGAATTTCTTAGTCCAGACACTTTCATTTCTCCCTGCAGCCATAGATAAAGGCACAGGGGTGGATTTACTAAAGGCAAATAGACTGATCACTTTGCACGTGCAGTTGCTCCAGAGCTTAGTAAATGAAGGTGAGCTCTGCTGACTTCCATCATCCAATCCTGTGCAAGCAAAAATGCTGTTTTTTTTATCATCATTTTCCTTGCATGTGATTGGATATCTCTTAGATTGTAAGCTCCCAGGATCAGGCCCTCCTAACCCTCTTGTATTGAACTGTATTGTTGCTGTATTGTCTCCCGTTGTATTGTAAAGTGCTGAGCAAACTGTTGGCGCTATATAAATCCTGTATAATAATAATATTCCTTGTAAAGTGAAGCTTTAACTCATTTACTAAGCTCTAGAGCAGCTGTACTTGCAAAGTGCACAGTCTGTTTGCCTTTAATAATTCTACCCCATAGAGTCCCTGAATCCACTACTGCAATCGACATTATGAGACTGATGTGACTAAGCTGGAAAAATCCAATGACAAACCTGGAAATAGCAGCTATGAGAGTCACAGGGTCGCTGCTATAGAGGCACTTCCCGTTTTTTCTTTAACCTCAGATATTTTCAGGGACAAAACTATTGAGCCAAGCACAGACAGACAACTGAGAAGCAGGAGATGAGGGCAATCCTTTTCTTGTTCACGTTCTCCATGGTCCCTCTCAGTGGTGGTAAGTCTCGCTATTTGGATGCCGTGTCCTTTTGTTAGGATAGCGGTGAGCTTGGGCACACCAATGCTGGAAGTTGCACTTGCAGAGTCAAATTTTCACCAGGATTCCAGTATAGCTAGGGTCTGCTGTGGGATGGAATCACATTGTGTGTAATGGTTCGTTTGTAGAAATGATCCACACCATGAGTGTAATGTTTTCTGGGATGAGGTTTGGGATCACCACTACTGCATCCGAACTACAAGGGTTAATTGCTTATTTAGGTCCAGGGGACTTAACCAATCCTCCATGCTGCTAGACCGTTCCTGAGAGCATCTCCTCCCCTATAGATCTAAGTACCTGACGGCATCTAGACCTATGTAGCCCTGCATAGGATGTGATGACATAGAAGGAAGGTCCACCAAAGGAATATAGTGGGGAGTGCCATCTGCCATGGGAGACGAGGATTGGATAAGTGAAGGAGCTTCTCTTCTCCCCTAGACTAAATGAGCAATTTGTTTATTTATTTCAGGTACTTATATAGCGCCATCGATTTATACAGTGCTTTACATATATATTGTACATTCACATCAGTCCCTAACCCTCAAGGGGTGTACAATCTAAGGTCCCTAACTCACATTCATACATACACATACTAGGGACAATTTAGACAGGATCCAATTCACCTACCAGCATATCTTTGGAGTGTGGGAGGAAACCGGAGTACTCAGAGGAAACCCACGCAGGCACATGGAGAACATGCAAACTCCAGGCAGGTGGTGGTTGGGTTTCGAACCAACGACCCTCGTACTGCGGAAGGCGGAAGTGCTAACCATTTAGCCACTGTGCTGCCTAACTCAGCCAGCGTGGGTGCAGCCCCACTGCAAGGGATAATATTGAAATTTCCCAGGGTTGGGCTTTAGGGTCACATTCAGACTGTTGCAGTGCTTTAATGAGAAGTATTTTGCACTCGAACACTACAAAGCTGCCCACACACCACAATGTAGATATTAACAAACCTGTAGAATTTTTGCCCAAGCAGGGCACTGCATTTGTGTGTTGTTGCGCACTGGCTTTGTGCATTGATGTGCCTTTCAAAATGAATGAGATTGAATGAAATACACACATTATGGTAATGCACAATAAAAACACACATTTTACCGAGCGGCAACGTAACAGTCTGAATTTGGGGCAAAGTGTCTGTATAAATGTGCCCATCATTATTCACCTCTCCAGCCATCCCCTGCCATTCATTCCTCGATTGTCACTGGCACAAAACACCCAATGCTTAGGTGTGTAGGGCGCTATGTGGCCTCTTCCCATGAAGCTTGAGCCTGAGGGACAATTGCTAGGCCCCAGTAATATTATGGAGGGGATGATGTCACCAGGGCTGCTGTTAGAAACCAAGGGGGCCCCATACAGTCAACCTGACAGCCCCCCCCAGAAAAACTGTTTTTATTATGCTCCAGTCATGAATGAACACAGCGAGTGATTGGTACCGATCACTCATTGTGTTAATTCAGGAAAGAAAGGGGCTGATAAATGTGACATGCACCAGGCCCCTTCCCCCCATTCTCCATCCTGAAGGATCCTATGATGTGCTTGCAGCTGCCGGTGGGAAGGAGAGGAGGGAAGCTGGCAGCACTGTGAGGCTGGGGGCACACAGGGGGGTCTGGGCAGTTAGGTGAAATGTATTGTGCACAGGGAGAGTGAAGGATGTAGCAGGAGGGTGATTACTGGAACATATCCCTGGTATGGCTCGCTCTGCGGCAGCTAAAAGCCAGCAGGAGGAGAAGAAGCCAGCTTTCAGCTGCTGCAGAGAGAGCCATACAGGGGATCGGTTACAGTAATTGAACCCCACCACCACCGTGCTGCTCATCCTCCCTGCCCACATCTGATTCACCCAGCTGCCTGGTCCCTACTGCTGGCCTGGGCCCTGTACAGGAGGACTGGTGATACCCCATTATCCAAGGCTCTGGATGTCACTACTCCCTCTAGGCTCTGGCACCAGCTGACACTGGAATGAAGGCAGTGGCTTGGTGGAGAGGTTTTAGTGAGTGGAGGACCTTCACATTTAGTATGACCAATAATATGGTAAAAAGAGTCTTTATTCCACAAAGTTTGGCTTTTACTACTTATTTGTTTTATTTACTATGTCTTACAGGAGTATTGGGAAATTCTTGGTCTCTTCAAGTATCGAGAGACGTTAGTGGTGAGATCGGTAAAGCCGCCTCTTTGCCGTGTTTGTTTTCTCACCACCCTCACAAGAACTACCATGGCGGGATAACGGTCATCTGGCGAGTCAAACAACCGTACAATGGAACTGTGGTCTTCAGGTGTTCCAGCGACCATGTTACCGAGCCATGTAAAACCACCGTGAACTACATGAACAAATTTCGACTCGTTGGAAGCCCACGAAACAACAATGTCTCCATCACCATAGGAAACCTGACTTGGGAGGACAATAATAGGTATTATTGTCGGGTGGAACTGTCTAGTGACCGGCATGATAAATACGAGACCAAAACTGGGACTTGGTTGCATGTATCTGGTAAGAGCTGTGCTTCTATAATGCTTAACTGACCACACCACATGGACACTACGATCTGACTAGTGTCCTTCAGATCTACCAACAATGTAGTACAAGGGTCTGCCTGACTAGGTACAAATCGAATCAATAGTTGAGATGAACCCTTACACTACATTGCTTTGGTAAATTTAAAGACAATTGTGCCAAGGCTGTACCATCAAACTGTAGATTAGTTGTGTCTAGAATTCCTGTATTCCCCTCATAGAGAGAAATATACTGTAAGTGAGAACTAGGCAGAATAATATATGCTACATATTTTCTCAGCCCCTCCCAGGATCGTCAACATCTCGGTGGGATTTGATCACAGGCGGGGATACCATGCAGTCTGTATTGCGGAAGGAGAACCTGCCCCCTCTTTGCTCTGGATTGACCCTCAGAACCATCACCAGGACACACTTCCAAGCAGCTTCACCTTGAAGCATCAGATGATCACAGAGCTCCATTATCTGCACCAGGATGGGAAGTATATCTGTGTGGCCACCAACAGTCATGGCAGAACAGAGGGCTCGGTGTTCTTCTTCAAGTTCAGGCCGCAGCCCAACAACAGCTTTCCATACGTGATGCTGTGGGCTGCCCTGGGAGCTAAACTGCTGATGCTGCTCCTGATGTTTGCTGCAGCAAGCTACTACAGCAAAGGTGAGCAGCTCTGCCTTGTTAAGGTGGACCTTTCGGAGGGTTTACAGTGTAACTCTAGCAGCACGGCGGGAGCTGAGAGGTGGGTGCAGGAAGTGCCTAGTAGTCCTAGCAACCTACAACAGGGGGAATGACAAATTGGCATGGGGAACCCATGCTAGGGACTGCCAGGGGAAGGGGGAGTTGCAGGTATCCTCTACTGAATTGAATCCTCAATCTCTAGTTGTGGAACGTTAGACAGTTCTTTGTAACTTTGTTGCAAATTACAAGGTAAGAGGCTACAATAGGGGGCTGGTCTGCATCAGACATGTGTGAACACAGCTAAGAACTGCACAGGCACCGAGATATGCACAACTTTGTATGCTGTGCACCTCAGTCCAGGAAGTAGATGGTGACCTTGGATGATGCCTGAGCAAAGATGGCACCATCCTTCTAAAGAGCGAAGCAAATGAGGGCAATGCCAGGAGGATTTACTGTGATCACTCTGAGATATAGATACCTGAAAATTCCACATTTGTACCACACATAGCTTGTACAGTATATCTCATTAGACTTTAACCCCTTGCCTACCAGGCACTTTCACCCCCTTCCTGCCCAGGCCAATTTTCACCTTTCAGCACTGTTGTACTTTAAATAACTATTACGTGGTCATCACTTTACCCCCCAAAAAATGTATAATTTTTTTGAGATATATAAAGCTTTCCTTTGGCTCTGTTTAATCACCACTGGGGTTTTTTATTTTTTGCTAAACAAACAAAAAAGACCACATTTTTTTAGTTTCTGTTATAAAATTTAGTAAATAAGTAATTTTTCTTCTTCACTGATATGCGCTGATGAGGGTGCACTGATAGATGGCACTGATGAGGAGGCACTCATGGGCACTGATGGGCAGCAATGATGGATACTAATAGACTGTACTGATGAGGAGGCACTGACAGGCATCACTGATGGGCACTGAGAGGCATTACTGATGGTCACTGATAGGCATCACTGATGGGCACTGAGAGGCATCACTGATGAGCACTGAGAGCACTGAGAGGCAGCATTGATGGACACTGATGGGCACTGACAGGCATCACTGATGGTCACAGATAGGCAGCATTGATGGACACAGAGAGGCATTACTGATAGGCATCACTGATGGGCACTGAGAAGCATCACTGAGAGTCACTGATGGGACTGCACTGATAATCAGTACTAATGATCAGTGCACTGTCTATCAGTGTAGATGCCCCCTCTGAGGATTGCTGCTTATCAGTTAGCCTCTCCTCCATGCTGTCAGTGCAAGGAGAGGACTGCCGATAACTAGCCTTTTTTATTTACATGTGATCAGCTGTGATCGGACACAGCTGATCATATGGTAAAGTGCCTACATCATCAGCTGTTTACCTTGATCAGTGATCCAGTGTCCAAGGGACACAGCTCACCACAGATCGGCGCGCATGCGTGGCTAGAGTGGGAGGACGTCATGTGATGTCCTCCCAGTACTAGAGTGCTCCTGCCTGCCCATCATTTCCCAACATGGCGGACGGGCGGCTGTTAAAGTAGAACTATGGCCTCCTATTAAAAATATGTTCTGCATCACCTAATTATAATTGCATCTGCACTACAGTTTTCTTTTATTCCCTCAACAAAGTCCAAAAAATAACTTTTGATCCTGCCAGTGATGTCCACCTATCACAGCATCCTGTGTGAGGTGGCAAGGATGCTGCACTGCTCCTGAAATCAGAGCAAAGTTGCCCCTCACATATAGGCTGTGCCTGCTTGCACTACAGTGGAAGGAGATGTTGCAGGGGGTGTGGCTATCAGCATTGTCACTGTTGCCTTTATCTTCTCAATCATTACCTGACCACACCCAGTCCCACAGCACCGCCTCTACTAATGAAACCCTCCCACTGTGAGCTGCAGTGTCTGGGAAGGGGACCATGTGACACACACACGAAGGAAGATTTGGCCCAAACAGGGGAGGTAAAGGAAGTTTAAACTGAAGTTTGGCTTTAAATACTTTACTTTGAGACAAAAAAAATAGTTTTCTTTGTAATTCATAATTCACAAATTATTGTTCTTGTATAATCATTTAATTTGTTTTTCTTTTGTTGCCATACAGACACCACAAAATCTATAGCCGGCACTTTTCAGTAAGTAGCAGCTATTCATGTTGATTCTAAATTGTTGTAGAAATGTGGTAAATTAAAGTAGAATTCCAGGTCAATAAATGTTGGTAAAGATAAGAGCAGGGGGCATTCTAGAGATCCTGATGTATTTCCCAGAATGCACAACTCCACTTTAAAGTAGAATTTCAGCCTAAAATGAACTAGTCTAAAAAAAAGAGGGGGAAGGGGTGTGCTGGGGATGGGGGGGAAGATGAGGTGAGCTGTGGCCGGGGGGAAATAAATGGTGTGCTGTGGACAGGGGGAAGAAGAGGTGAGCTGTTGACAGGGGGGGGGGGGGGGGAGAAGAGGTGAGCTGTTGACGGGGGGAAGAAGAGGTGAGCTGTGGATGAGGGGAAATAAATGGTGTGCTGTGGACAGGGGGAAGAAGAGGTGAGCTGTGAAGGGGGGGGGGGGGGGGGGGAGAAGAGGTGAGCTGTGGACGGGAGGGAAGAAGAGGTGAGCTGTGGATGGGGGGGGAGAAGAAGAGGTGAGCTGTGGATGGGGGAAGAGGTGTGCTGTAGACGGGGGAAAGAAAGGTGTGCTGTGGACGGGGGGAAGAAGAGGTGTGCTGTGGACAGGGGGAAGAAGAAGAGGTGTGCTGTGAATGGGGGGGAAGAAGAGGTGTGCTGTGAATGGGGGGGAAGTAGAGGTGAGCTGTGGATGGGGGGGAAGAAGTGGTGAGCTGTAGCCAAGGAGAAGAGGAGAGCTGTGGACAGGGGGAAGAAGAGGTGAGCTGTGAACGGGGGGAAGAAGAGGTGAGCTGTGAATGGGGGGGAAGAAGTGGTGAGCTGTAGACAAGGGGAATAAGAGGTGAGCTGTGGATGGTGGAAGGTGAGCTGTGGACAAGGGGAATAAGAGGTGAGCTGTGGATGGTGGAAGGTGAGCTGTGAATATAGGGAGAAAAGGTGAATTGTGAATGAGGGAATAAGAAAAATTGAGCTGTCGACAGAGGTGAGCCTGGGGACGGGGGTGCAAAGGTAAGCAGAGAGGTGTGCAGAGGTGAGCGATAGTGACTTTGGGAGCGGATATGTAAGTACTGTTCTTTCTGCTTATTTTTCTGTGTCCTGTGTGATACGCACCCCCCATGTGTTATGCAATACCGAGTGCGACATTCTGTGCCTCATGCACCTTGTGCAATGAGCAGATTATTTGGCGCTGCTTTACAACTCTCTGAGAGGAACGCCGGGGTTGAGGCGAAGAGTTGGCCAAAGAAGGTGAGTTTCTGTACCTGTTCTCTGAAAAACAAAGCCCTGACTGTATGTATTGTATCCCTCTGTTTTAGGAGGGCACAGGATTCAACCTATGAAAACTACACTCAGAGAACTCCCTAAAGAAACAATCTGCAGCATCTGAGAAGCAAGCTTGCTGAAGCACTCCAGTCTGTTATTACTTCTTCTCTTCTTGGCTGATAATTAGTTATAAAACAGTTCCATATTTACAAAGGCATTCTCAGCTTGGCCAGGTTTACCCGGGAAATAGTCTATCTTTGAAAGTAACTTCACAATAAACTTGTAAGTACTGGTTTTATGAATTTTACATGCAGTTGTCTATTTTTCTTATTATTTAGACCAGGGAATGCGCCTACAGTGCATCTCTAGGCAAAACCTCTTTTGCTTTCAATAGACCGCGTGCTTTGTACTGTTCGGGTTTTTGTTTCAGCTAGAGCAAGCGCTGTGTCCTGTTGGGGTTTTATTTCGGTCAGAGCATGGGTTGTGTTTCAGAGTTTTGTTTTGTGTCCCCTTGGAATGTTGATTACAGATAGAGCAGGGGCCGTGTCCCCTTGGGGTTTTGACTTCAGATAGAGCAAGGGCCGTATCCCTTTGGGGTTTTTATTTCAGATAGATCAGAGACTGTGTCCAGTTACAGCTGTTCTTTCAGACAGAGCAGAGATCGCGTACCATTGAGGTCTCTCTTTTGAAGCAGGAGCCATATCCCATTGGGATTTTTTTTTTAGATAGAGCAGGAGCCATGTCACACTGGGGTTTTTTTTTCAGCGATAGCAGGTACTATGTCCAGTTGGAGTTTTTCTTTCAGAGCAGGGGTCTTGTCCCATTGGGGTTGTTCTTTCAGAGAGAGCAGAGACCATGTCCCATTGAGGTAGTTCTTTCAGACTGAGCAAGAGACATGTCCCATTGAGATTTTTCTTTTAGGTAGAGCAAGAGCCATGTCACACTGGGGTTCTTGTTTCAGCAATAGCAGGTACTATCTCCAGTTGGAGTTTTTCTTTCAGAGCAGGAGCCTTGTCCCATTGGGGCTGTTCTTTCAGACAGAGCAGAGACCATGTCCCATTGGGGTTTTTTCTTTTAGTTAGAGCATGAGCCATGTCACACTGGGGTTCTTGTTTCAGCGATAGCAGGTACTATCTCCAGTTGGAGTTTTTCTTTCAGAGCAGGGGCCTTGTCCCATTAGGGCTGTTCTTTCAGACAGAGCAGAGACCATGTCCCATTGAGGTAGTTTTTTCAGACTGAGCAAGAGAAATGTCCCATTGGGGTTTTTCTTTTAGTTATAGCAAGAGCCATGTCACACTGGGGTTTTTGTTTCAGCGATAGCAGGTTCCATGTCCAGTTGGAGTTTTTCTTTCAGAGCAGGGGCCATGTCCCATTGGGGCTGTTCTTTCAGACAGAGCAAAGACCATGTCCCATTGAGGTCGTTCTTTCAGAATGAGCAGGAGACATGTCCCATTGGGGTTTTTCTTTTAGGTAGAGCAGGAGCCATATCCCTTTTTGGCTTTTGTTTCAGTGATAGCAGGTACCATATCCAGTTGAAGCTTTTCTTTTAGAGCAGGACCTGTGTTCCGTTGGGATTTTTCTTTCAGAAAAGGAGTGACTGTGTCTAGATCGTGTTTTGTTTCAGATAAAACAGGCTCTGTGTCTCATTAGGGTTCTAGTTTCAGATAGAGTAGGAAATGTGTCCTACTGGAATTCTTATTTCAAATAGAGCAGTGACTGTGTCCCGCTAGAGCTCTTGTTTCGGACAGAGTA